AAAATGTCTTCTGTTATTATCTCGTTGCCAGGATGATGAAGCATGCTTAAAAAAAGACCGAGATTGAATTAAAAGACGATAACGACGACGTGCTGTTTGACACAAGCTGATGTCGATCTTAATTGTGAGTAATGTACGATAAATAGGATCGGACTCCCTACATGGAGACAGCCCAAAGCAGACATCGCATAAGGGAAGATGTTTGCGTTTATCTGAACTGCTACATGATTAGATACTTTTTAGTTCCTCAAGCAGACGTTCGGGTTTGCTATTTACTACTTTGCCGCAATATCAGCTCAACTTCGAGGACAAAGTACACTCATCGTTTAGCCATTGGCCAGTTATTACTGTGTTGGAGATAAGTTAAGTTCAACTCTGCATCATTCAAGAGTCCCTCTGAGATGTAGGCTTAGCCTCGGCGTCCGCTCCATCGTTGCACAATAACCAAAATGCCCCCTCAGGCCATGAGTCAGAGGTACCTGCAAGTGGCACGGTTGAATTTGAGTAAGTGATGGTCTCGACAAAACTTGATTCTGTCATCTGTTGACACGGGGCAAGACCAAATGTACTTACAGAGACGGAGAGTACGTATTAAATAACAGACTACAGCAACAGATCAACGCCCACAAAATCATTTTCGTTATTGTCAGATGATCACTCTTGGGGATGGTCAAAAGTGCTTATAAAACAGAACAGATGGAGATTAAATTCAACGACGATGAGAATGACGTGCTGCGTGACGTTAGCTGATGTCGATCTTAGTTGTGAATAGTGTACAATCAATACGATCGGACTCAATAAATGGAGACATAGCCCAACGTAGGCATCGTATTCCGGAATATGTTTTCGCTTTCCTAACCTGTTACATGATAAGGCTCTCTTTAGTTCCTCTAGCAAACGTTCGCGCTTGCTATTTTCTACTTTGCCACAATACCAGCTGAAATTTAAGAACGGAGTACACATATCGTGTAGCCCTCGTTGATTTAATCCTGAGTGATTTACGACCTGTTCGTTGAGTAGGTTTATTATTAGAGGACGCAGTCATCACCGCATAAATCAATCACTGTCTATTTTAAGCCATCTATCGCATCCACGAATAAAAATCTCTACATCCGCACAACTCGTTGCACGAATATATCAGATTGCAGAGTACGCGACTCAAGCGCAGCCACAAGCACATGTGTGCGCGGGTTTTCACACACTGGAATATTCCGTCGAGTAAATTATCAGAGTTAACCTTCCCGCCACACTGCCTAGTATATTGTCAGTTACACTACGCTGTCGTTTAGAGGATGTGAGAATGAATCAGCAAAAAATTCGCTACCATCTCACTAAAACGTCATCACAGTGCATTTCTAAATTACAAATCAAACCACTCTACCTATTCGGAAAAATATAAGAGTACAGTGAACGTCATTCTTGATGGTGGTTCTCTAAGGACTGAGTGGCCACAACAACTGGCATTAAAACATGATCAAACAATCCATGCAACCTATAGTAGTCTACAAACACAACAACCACAGATTGACTTGCCGGTCATGCCACTATTTACACCAAGGGGAAGGAAAAACAATGACGATGGTGGTGATTATGAGGCAGTTAGTAATAATAATAACAATGATGGTGATGATTGTGACTCGTCTTCATTAACACTCACAATCAAAACGAATTGGTTTTTCCAAGAGTTAAAACTACACCAACTAATCATCCACCAAATGTGACTTTAAAGTCCGTCTGTTCTTCATTGTGGTCGACGCTGAATGAATCCAGGACTGTGTGTTGATGCTGTCTGTGGAATGATTCATCGGCAGATTTCAACATTTACCAAAATTAGAGGCGTGCTGAACCCTATTTCAGACGCAAATTAACTCACGTCGACCACTGAAACTCCACATGCAAAATCATCCATTACAATCCGCTTGACAAGCGGTAATTGTGAGCTTCAACGTGAACATAACTCACCCATTGGAATTGTCTGAAAGTCGGGTTTTTGTGAAAATTTGACTCCCAATCACTTCCACCCGTCGTGCCCCTTTTCTAATTTACAAACTAATTTCAGTGACCGAGGCTAAGACAACATAATCCTCGTTCACACAAGGTAGAAGGGATTCCAGTCGTTTAATTTGACGTGAAATATTTGTAGTTGAGGAAACGAAATGAGTTGCTGCTTCTGCATCACATGCATTGCTGGAACAGTTAGAAGGATCTCACGGTTATTACAGAAATGACACAATTTACTGCAAAAAGAGATTGCTCCATATTCCCAACACGAGAAATTGATGCGCTGTTTGACAGCACAGCAAACGTCAATACTCCAAGGCCATCGCAATCAATCGATAGGAAATCAATTCCTGAAGGCCTTTCTTTCACAATGAGCTCCGTTCTTTCGTGCCTTGCATTGAGTAACTTCTACGACTGTATCGTACTAGGAAGCATCATCAGATTCTTCGACTGTCTCTTATTGTGTGTAGCAAACTCTCCTCCCGAACGCATTTTTCGTCGAAATGATTTTTATCAAACCAGAGTTAATTGGATGCAATCACATGACAACTTGCCACCTCTCACAAGGAAATGTCATTTGCAGACATTTTTCATCAAGAACTCGAAAATCTTCATAAGTCGTGTGATTAATTTGTACTAGAGTTGAGACCTGAAACAGTCAATTTTCTGTTAACTGCTCTCTGAAACATGACAGCCTCAAATGCTGAGTGAGCGCCACACATCAAAAGCAAATGTGACCAATTATTCGCTGCTTTACTGCATACCTAAATGTGTACCGAATTTGTATAAAGAACTACGAGCTTCATTGGTCAATTAAAATGTTTCATATCCGTCAATAATGGATAACTACTTTTGTGTCATAGATTAGTCAGAAATGGACCTTTTTTTCACCTAATTTATCACCATCTGATCTTTACCTGCTGCACTGACAAATCATCGCCAGGCGTTTATCACCAACGTGTCACTACCTAGTTCATTCAGATTTGACTTCCCGGCAACGCGTTTTTGCTGCGTTCGTGTGTGGGTGTGCGTGTGTGTCTACGCGCAAATAGCTAACACAAATAACCTTCCTACCCTCTATACATCGTTTACCACTGCAACACAATGAACCACTGCTACAAGAATTTGATATCAAAACTTAATTTTGTGGTAATTTTATCGTCTGGGAGTTTATGTGGATGGTGTTGTTTACTAGCTTACCTTACACCGCATTTTCTCTTCCTGTTATACTGCATCAAATGGTGTGATTGTGGTACACAAGGAGGACTTTTCGCTGACGCATTTTACTCATTTCTTTCTTCCCAACACAATTCTAGTACTCTTTTCTTGTGTACTTGTGCTTGTATGGGTGGGGAGTAGGTACCTATCTACTACTACTACTACTACTACTGCTACTGCTACTACTACTGCTACTACTACTCCTACCACTACTACTACCACTACTACTACTACTATTTACTGCTATCTACTAGGTATTTATATACTATTTATCTATCTACTACTATCTACTATCTATCAATTTACTATCTATCTACTGTCTACTATATGTCTAATATATAAGCTATCTACTATATATGCTCTTATCAATTTTACATATTTCTGATTGCGTACCGTTGACACTTACCGTTATTTCTAAGCTTGGCCTGGTCCTAATGCATGTGATCAATTGACACAACTTGAGGATTATTCTGAGCAATATTAGTAAGTTATTTTAACCATGTCGCAAAATGTGGAACATAAATCCCTTCATATGACTCAAATAATGGCACATCAGGAGATTAGGATGTTGTAAAGCTCCAATCATCATTTTCTTCATCAAGATCACGATTTCAATCCCCTTGGATGTTATCATCTTAATAGAATGATAACCAGGTTCAATAAACAGCATATTTTCCCAATTGTATTTTAATAACCTGACATCTAAAATGAATTTTATTACTATCACATAGGATACTAATTGGCCTTCTTTGTTCCAAATAAATTAGAAGTCGCAAACTCAGTCCATCTTCATTAATTTAACCTCATTCTTCAAAATAGTTTAGCAAAGACTAAATTCTGAGTGCTGTCTTTTTTGGGCGGACTGCAGGTGTATTACTTATTTGAACCTTACGAATTTCACGAGAAATTTAGGAATTTTTGAGGAATTATACACTTAAAATATCTGTTGTATGTAATCGGTTGTCATATTTAAGCGTTTTTATGAAAGTCACGTTGATAATTTAAATAGATTTATTTAGCACCAAAAGGTCAATAATTGTATCACCTATTTCTTTAAAATACCGTTTAATAGGTGGCATAGCATACGTACACTCAAAAAATTAGCCAAAATAAAGATTTGTTAAAATAGATTTTTTGTCTATGACAGACAAAATAAAGCACCTGTTTATTTTGTTGGAACTGCAGAAGTTATAGCATATAAAAAAGGGCAGAAGTCGCGTAGAACTATTGCGGAAAACATTATTGACACAATGCAAACGGTGATTTTCACAAAATTGCTATTCGTATTAGAAATTATCATAATTTTGATACACTCACATAATTTAAGAGCTTGAAACTGGACATTTTCATGCTACCCTCACAGCCAACTAATACAATTTTATATATTATCGGAAGAAAAAAATACTATAACAGATGGAAAAAAATAAAATTAAAATGCCTAAAATAAATGTGCATGTCACAAAATTATTTAAGAAAATTGTCAATTGAAAATACAACGAAACCTTGAGACTTGTTTATATTTTCCGCTTTGAGGCAGGGCGACAGGTGGCAATATAGTATAAAATGCGTGGTTACATTGCTTCGCAATATTCACAAGCCAGGTAACTAATGATGTGCTTTTTTTATGCGCATGCGTATATTATTAGGTGGTGTGCAGGGAAAATGAGTGCTTTGTGTTCATTTACTTAATTTAAATTGCTCGGAATTCTAAATTTATTTGACGATTTCTTGCATAGTTTTAGGAGTCCGGTATCATTATGACAGCAAAATGGATACTTAGAATGCGCGAAAAGCGTCAAAAAAAGAAGGAGGAGAAGGCTGAAAAAAAGGCAAACAAAAACAAGGACAAATCTGCAAAAAACGAGTCTGCTGATAATAAATCCAGTGACAATAAGAATGCTAAACAGGAATCGCCTAGCTCTAAAAACACGACTACTCCTCAAGCAGAGTCTAGTTCCGAGGAAGAATCTAGTTCTGATGAAGAGTCAAGCTCTTCCGAGGAATCCAGTTCTTCGGAGGAAACAAGCTCTTCGGAGTCATCCAGCTCTTCTGAAGATTCCACCTCCTCGGATGAATCCAGCTCATCTGAAGAATCCAGTTCTGATGATGACTCTAGCTCTGACGATGACTCCAGCTCCGACAGTTCTAGTTCATCAGAACAATCCAAGGAAAAAGGAAACAAAAAAAAGATATTTGGGCGGAAGAAATGAAGACATTCCCCATTAGATCCACACCATTTGGTCTTTCAGCTATTTTTTAAATCTTACCTTACTGTTGTACATTTTTACCTTGAAATCATACTTAAATCTATCATCTTCGCTGAAGTTGGTTTTCAACATTTTTTATAGGGTGGCTCCAATAGCCCTGTTATGTGACTTAAAAAGTCGATTATTATCGGCTGGATTTAAAATTTAAGGTAATAATGTGGTCCTTAAGACGTTATTTTTGGTTGTCATAAGGTAACCGCTTTTGTGCAACAAATATGCCATTTGTCCGTCTCGTTGATGCTCATGAACATGTGGGACAAAATACATTTATAGTGTTCCGTAAATTAACCTAAAAATCTTCAACTAGCTCTTTTCTACTTTCCGATGTCGAAAATAAGTTGTTTTTCGTCAAATCTAGAATACCTTATTGCCAACACGCAAGTTAAAACGTTGCTATCATTTTTGATGCCTCAAGATTAGTTATGATAAATACGAAAAGGCATGGATGCTGCACTTCATGAAACAAACAAATTACGTGATGCCTTGTCTACTTTTAAACATTCAAATAAATAATTAGAACTCACAAAAGTGGTATAAGGTTAATCCCGGACGGACCCAAGTTTGGAAACTTTCTGCTACTAGTGATGCTCTAAAAACGTACGAAGCTCAGGTTCTCAAATATTTGCAAAAGAACAGTAGAGATTTTGGAACTGTACTCAATGAGCAAAGTCTACGAAGGGTAATTTCATTTAAGCGCTGACACACACGCACACACAAACGCAGCCCACACATAAGAAAACAGGACTCCATTTGAGTCTGGATGAAAAAGCAGGCAAAAACGCGTTGCCGGGAAGTCAAATCTGAATGAACTAGGTAGTGACACGTTGGTGATAAACGCCTGGCGATGATTTG